ACCTTCTTCGTTGGTAACCCCCTATTTGGGTTGTCCTTCAGCTTACCATTCTGGTCCGGATTATTTGCAGCAGCTTGCGTTGGTTTTATGCTGGAACGTTCTCGACGAGGCAAGTGCACCCCATCAAAAACCTCCTTTCGGGCAGTTCTGGTGCTCGGTACAGTCCGCTCCGCCGCGTTTACGTCACGTACACGTGGTGCGCCGTTATTGTACCCGCGGGGAACAGTGAGATAGACCTCACCTTCGGATGCCTCATCGTCGGGGTCAGACGGCGGCATGTACCAATGTGAGTCCATCTCTTTCTGCTCTTCTGAAGAATCTAATCCGGATTCCTCGTCAGACTGTATTTCTTCGATGTAAGCACTTTGGTGCCCTTGCAATTTTGTTTCTAAGGAATATTTTGAATCCTGATGGGCTGTCACAAAAGCGACACGAGGGGCAGCTAGTCTGGCGGCAGCCTGCGCCAGTGTTTCCCCTGGACCTCGCCTAATAAAGGCTCCGTTTTTCATACGAATCCTCCTGGACTCAGGATCAATGAAAACAATTTCTTTAGCTACCAACTCTTTTATGTCTGGGCAATCCCCTATTCGATGCCCGTCCTGTCCACAACCATAGCAGCCGTAGGTTTCAGTTCTTGGAGGATTCGAAGCTCCCAGAGGGATATTGTTTGGGTACGTGCTGCGATTTCCGCCTGTACCTGAATTCTCGGAACTGGGAGGCTTTGGTTCCTTGCTTCTAAAACCATTCTTGGGCCCTGAGTCAGCCCAAGTGGATGCGATTTTAGGGGGCTGAACACATTTGGCAGCTATGCCAGTGGTGTCTAGCGCCAAAACCTTGTAGTAGACGGGAGGGTATTCAGGGTCGCTGATGGACATTTTATTCAGCTGTCGAATTAGGCTCGTCACTTCCTCTGCTGTCCCAGCAGTTTGCAGGGTTCTGCTTTTGCTGGTCCCATTGGAATTAGAGGACGTCTTTTTAGCCTTTTTCTTTTCCTTAACTTTCTTGGCTCTAGCTTTCGCCCGATGTTTTCTGCGATAATTCTCATAATCTGAATCATCACTGTCCTCCGATTCCTCTTCGGACTCAACATCAGTGGTGTCGCTATCCAAATCTACACCGTAATCAGCAGCATTAACCACCATGGCTTCTGCACGATTTCTGCGGAAATACCATTCTGCGGCTACGTTAATTTCGCGTACTGAGTACTGGCGGTGAAAGCTTCTGGTAGGATTAAGCTGGTTTATTCTCTGCTCCAAGGTTCGACGTAAGTCCAGCTGTATCCCTAGCCAGAAGTATACATCGTAATTTACTTGCGTAATATGTCCTTGTTGCAATAATATTCCAGCCATCGTTTTATACTTTATGAAGTATTTCTTCCATTGTGATAGATTTTGGAAGGGTTTCGACTGTGTCTTCAACGTATAAGTGGCAATATCACTCGGCTTGTACTTAGACGTGGCCCTATCTGCGTCATAACTCTGAAGAATTTCACGACGCAGCTTGAACCACTGTCTTCGCTGGAAGTATTTTGAAGCGCGAATGAAGCCTTGGACGTCAGTCGAACAATAATCCAAAATCAATGTGCACTGGTCGGTCGGATCGGTTACATGGAATTTCACAAGTAGCCTATCGTAGTGCGCAATGAAATATTCTACCTCCGCATGATGCCCGCGGAATATCTTGGGGGCGTCCTTAGTTCCTCGTAAGGGCATATCCAAGACAGTGCGAGTGGATCCTGAGCCAAATATTGGGACAGAGCTCCGCATGCGTGGTGGCGAAGGGAGGTTTGACGCCGACGAAAATGCGTCGTCGTCAGAGGAGGAATTCCCTGGATCGGAATCTTCCGGATCTGAATCTGGTATCCCCGTTTGGTAATTTCCCATATGGGGCTGTTTCCCCTTATGGGAATTTCCCATATATGGATGCTTTACGTTATGCGAGGGCGATGACGTCAGATGAGGAAAAGGAAGAAGTGGGTTTTGCGCCGGATTTACGAATTGTGTAGTTGGTGGCGGTGCTGGCCCGGATGAGGAAGGCTGTTGCGCATCAGGAAGCTGGCTTGTCGAAGCTTGCGGAGGCGCATTAGCCTGAGAGGGGTCGAGATTTAAATGCATAGTGGTGGAAGTCGTAGGGGAGTTTCGTGGAGAATACGAGTCGAACTTGACAAAAGAGGGAAATTATATGAATATAATCCCCCCTGCGGTGGTCACCAATGATGTCAAGCGTATAATTGGTTATACACGTGGTCCTCTGGGAATGACTTTATCCGAGAGTTTCACGCAAGGTTCGAATTTCCCAAGGGTGTCAAGAATATCGCTAGAATACCTCGAAATGCGAAGGCGAGTCTGGCGGTAAAATCGACGGAGGCGGAGGTCGGCGAGTGAGGAGCTTGGAGTGCGGCGGAGTAGAAGCAAGCAAACTTGTATAAACGGACTAACAAGTGTGCTCGAGGGAATTTTCAGATATCGACTAGGCTCTCGTCCAAGGTTGCGATAACACGAGGATTGGGTGGTGAGAATAATGCTTCGTCAAACAAAGAAAATGCGAAGGGGCAGACGATAGAAAGAGTATACAAGCGGACGAGTTCCACAAGCGTACTCAAAGGACGGCGGCGTTGGGGTAGAATATACGTGCGACGGATCACAAATATATTCCAAGACGTAGACGTAAACGTAGGTGCCTTAGAAAAATACTCACTTAGTATTCGACTGAGACGGCGGCGGCGGCGTAGACGTAGGCGGAGGCGTAGGTAGATTAAACAAGTAAACGGTTTACCAGTTCAATCAAGACGTAGACGGGTGAGGTTACAAATATCCGGTTGATACTTATAATCTCAAAACGGGGGCACTTAAACAGTAACTGTACTGTTGAAATGCAGAGCGGTGTGCGTAAAATGTAAATTCGTATGTAGCGGGTAGCTTGCTTTTTACAGGTAGAACAGGGCTCTATTTATACTACTGACTACGGTTGTTGACTCTTATTTGGTTCTTACCAGATCCTTCCACTGATGGCATCATTGTTCCATTTTGTTCCAGAAGATTCCAGGGCGTGTTTGTCATTGTTTCTAACGGATGGCTTCGGCATTTCGGGTTCAAACGACCTCGGCTTCTATTGTCCTTGGTCGCGAAAGTGCGTTTCGTAGTTTCGTCAATTCTAACCATTTTTACTAAAGCGAATTTTTCTATCACCAACTTCATTCTGAGTCCAAACACTTTTGGCTCATGACACCGTGATGATTATGCCCACTGTGCTTGCACTTTCAGTGGAGGTATACCCCCACAGCATACCTTACTTGACCACCACATTGGCTAGAAGAGCTCTCCATCTCATCCAGCAAGCAGGGGCCGACAGTTTCCCTACTAACAATTGGTGAGCCCAGTTCTCCTGCTGTGCCTCTCACCGATTCAATTCCCCATTCTTTGCAGGCGCCATCTCGCAAGGACATACGGCTTTCTTCGCCTGTGGGGTCAGCTCATCAGACAGTCACCGCACTCCAGCCCGGAATTTTTGCGTGAGCTCCGTGAATTTATCCCACACCCCGGTGCACACGGCTGGGAGTGTGACTCGGCGGCTCCATGTGTAGCAGAGTTCTACCATGTTGTGCAATGGCTCAAGGTACATATGTACGCCCAGCGTCAGAGACAATTGTGTTCGACTCACGCTTGGTCGGGCAGGCCTTTCCCAATCCCTCAGCGAACGTGCTCGAAGTGCTCGAGCAATGGCAGGATTATTTGCAAAAGAGTCGGGAATTTTGCGGCAGGTGTGGGGACAAGACCGACGAGGACTTCGAACGTGCGTGGGCCAAGGGAATGGGCTTCGCTATCTTCCCTTCATACAGCACAATATCGAAAGTTGAATGTCGGCCGCGGGACTCATTCGAAGTTGGACTCACGGACGATGAAAAATGACCTGTAATATTTCATGGGAGAACGGGGAAGTGGTAGAAAGTGGAATGCCATAGCTGAGTATGTAGCTCACCTGGATCTTTTTGTTCAACCTGTAAGCATGCAGTTGTAAAAGACTAAACGTTCACTTTCTTCTTGTACATACGGCGCGTGCAATGTCCAGCTATATTTGCTTCGTGCAGCTGGGATGCATATTTACTAGTTATGATTTATGATTTTGGATTGCTTGAATGTAGCTGTAGTGCGTACTATTTGTAGAAAATCTAGATGTAGATGTAGATCTTGGAGATTCAAAAACGAAGAATGACCAGCGCCGTGCGCTTACCTTCTAGCTTCTTATCCCTTTGTCGGTGCAGGGTCAGATTGATTTCGCTACCGTCGGACAGCCGGACTCAACCATTCATCCATCCCGCAGAAACGTCGAGCTGTGCCTGTTCGTCCCTCGTCCCTCGTTCGTTTGCAGCAGTTGGACGTATTATAGCCTACTCCTTGCCCCTGTCCTCTGGCACACATGTTATGAATCAGAATCACATCCGGCTGGCAATCAATGTTTTCAAGAATACAGAATACATGTACAGAACTGTACATACATACAACAGCCGAGTAAGATCGAACATGCCCGAGATGCCCGGGCCGTGTGCCAATCAGCTGTACCCATCCAAAGACAGGACCTTCGTCTATCCCGAAAGCGAAATATTGAGCGCAGGTGCGCACCGGGCTTTGACTGGTATGAATCAGAACTTACTGCGACGGAATGCGTGAATAGAGCCCGTAATCTCCGCATTCAAATTTCAACATTGCACTTGCCTCCCGCGATCAACCCCACCCCCCCGGCACGGCTCGGAGCGGATCCCTGAGCAGAACGGAAGCACTCTCAATCAAGTGATCTTTCCTTCATGGGAATCGCTCGAAATTTGAAAGGACATGTACAAGAGAAGGGACAGAAGCGCGCGCGACCGTTTTTGGTAATGTCGCCGCCACAGACAGCACTCCGCCGCCCCACTTTTAAAACACTCCGAAGAACAAAAGTGGCTTCGAACGGCCTCTAATAACTGAACCATAGTTCGAAAAAAGAAGTCTCCTGCAAATTCCGAATTCCGAATCGGGGAATCGAACCCCGGGCTGCCGCGCTAATGATTACGCCGTGCTTCATCATGACGTAAGACTGAGAAGCGGCAATGTTGACCCCTACACCAATTCGGAGGTGCAAGTCGGAGGAAGGAGACGATACGTTTGCCTCCAACATTAACGAAAAGCGCAAAGTTGAGCTGGCTCTCAAATTGGGACATCATAGCAGCTAGCATTGAGCCTCCAGGGAAGCTGCGGAATTCAGGAATGCCATACGGGTTTCCCCTGCTGGGACACTATCATCAGTCATGAGACCTCAGACGAACAGTACTAGTGATGATAAGTAGGGACATGCCTCATTGTACATGGACATTGTTGACAACGGCGAACGCTGAGGCACGAAGCAGCAATGTTGACCCGTACACCAATTCGGAGACTGAACCGAGTCGTGCAATCGTAGTCCCATTTGGCCCCTGCACTAATTTGGACAGTTGAAAACACAACGAGGACACAGGCTGAGCAATGTCGACGCCTACACCAATTCGGAGAGTGAACCGAGTCGTGCAATCCGAGTCGTAGTCCCATTTGACCCCTGCACCAATTTGGACAGTTGAAAACACAACTAGGAGACAAGCTGTCGGCGCTCGGAGTTGATAAAACGCATAGGCAGAGTTTTTACAAAACCTCCATCCCTCAGATAAGAGCGGGCATGATAGTGATAGTGGAGGCAACTGAGCTTACGGATAAGAGGTGGGTCCGGCTGCTCATGCTCTGTCTTGGAGATATCACCACTATCAGTACTACCTATTGGCCGCTTCCGGAAGATGACTCTGACGGACCTTGATTTCTTGCTCGGGCTCTTCACTTCGACGACGTTTGACACCCGGGTGGGTCCATGACTTATCTAACTTAGCTGAAGGTTAGGAAGGATTCAGCTCCGGCACAGATCGCAATGACTTTCCATTTCTAATTTGCTCCCGGCGGCGGTTTGAATCGTACACATTGACACGTCGCGCAGCAATACGTAAACATTCCGCTGTGCATGGACGACGGGGGCTCTCGATGTGAAGGTAACAGTACAAACGAGCCTTCGTCTCTGGGTCTGCATGATCGAAAGGGTCTCCTCAGGGGCACGGCCAACAGATTCTGGGTCAACATTGGCGGTGGGGGTCGGTGCCAGTGACGCGAGAGAACCCGCGTATGTTGGTGTTGACCTGCTAAGACGGCTATACTTGGAGGCGGGGCTATATAACTCATGAGAAGCGACATACACACATCATACGACATGTTGGCGCACCCGATGACGTTGAAGGTCTTGCCACGCCGCCGCGTTGCGGTTTCCGACGGCCAGCGCATTCGCGAAGAAATCCCAGATCGCGGTGTTGGGAGCATATTCCATTTTAATTTTTAATTTTTCAGAGACGATTCGATTTCGGAAGCTTGAGAATAAGGACGCACGCTGAGCAGTTGTGGGCCGCCCTCACCTTCACTCTCCCTCCCGGCGCCGCACTTCTGTGTCAGTTTGAGGGCGACTCCGGCATTCGCCGGTGCCATCAAGCCGTCTCGGCATCACGTTCACACGGCCACGTCTTCTTTTTAACCACCACCACGCTTCAGCCCGCGGGTCAGCCAAGGTTAGTGGAGTGTATCTTGTTCATTTTACTTGTACTTCTTCTTCATTTCAGTTTCTTTCTGGCTTCCTGGGCTGTCTACCGACGGGGTGAGTTGCGAAGTTGGGGGTTTCGGGGATTTGGGTCGTAAGGTACGCACCCCGCGGTTTTTTATTCTGGATTCGGTGCTAATGATCTTTCAAGCTCTTCGCCATCTCAATCCTCGGCGCTCCCCTTCTTTCTGCTCACATCTCATCCTCAAGATCTTCTCCTGCAAGTCTCTTCGCGGCTTCTTTGACTCTGCTTCGCCTCGTCTTCAAAATCTTCAAGTCTACTTATGCTCTGTGCAATTTCAACTCCCATGTCTTCTTCTCTCAATCCCTGGCTCCGGATTCGCGCTGGGGCTTCTTGACTTCAACTTCAAAACTCCCACTCTGGTGCAATGTCCGCTTCTGACTTGTATTTCCTCAAGATTGTCTTTTGAATCTATTGGACCTCTGTGCGCGATTTCAATGGTCCTTTTTTCTTGTCTCGATATCTTGCTATGGATTCGCACTGGGGCTCCTCAAGTTCGCTCCGAAGACGCTCATACATGGCTTGCAATCTCGGCGATGTCGCAAGTGGATTAATCGGGATTTTGGATCGTCTGGACCGTCTCAAGCTGTTCCAACGCCTTCCTTTGCTTTTCTTCCAATCCATCGCTCTAGACGCACGCTGCGGTTCCCCGATTTCGCTTCAAAGCGACTCACCATCAGGCTCGCAAGCTTTTCTGCCAACGCAGCTCCAATAACTCAAATTATGACCGTCGGTGTTTTCTGGACTGCTTCTCAATCGCGTCAAACTAATTCAACTCCTCATCTGCAACACTCTTACCTTCGCAACTCGACTACCTATGCAAGTACAACACCACTTGAATCGGATTCTTTCCAGGTAAGTCAATATTTCAACGCCGCTTCACTCACAATTTGGACTCGTCTTCGGGTCCTTTTGTTCTTTCCAGTGTCGTTGTACCTGGCTCGCATCTATCCGTACATTTCATTGGCTGACTTGGTTTCCTTAGATCCACATTCACGGATTGCGTTGTGTCGACTTGAACAGTCCAGAGGTAGGGCTTTCGTCGCTGCTTCGTTGTAGTTTGACTAATACACTCCCTCCCTCATCTCATCTCACCTCACCTCACCACTTCCATCCGAGGTACTCAGGTACGTCTCCCCCATCTTCCCTTCTTCTATCTTCTTCTTCCCTTCTTCCCCTTCTTTTATCTTCTACTTTACACTACTTTACTTTAGTCGGGTTGACGCGTTCAAGGCTGATTCGCACTCACTCACTCTTTGCTAGATTTTTTTGAGATTTTCTTGAGATTTTGGGATCGTGATGTCGCAGGTTTGCACATGTCGCGTGGAGGAGAGGTGAGGTGAGGTGAGGGAGAGGGGCAGAAGTGCAGTGGTTGGAGGGGTATGGTGAGTTTGGAGGTTGTGTTGAAGGCGAGTTGAGCTGAAGGTGAGCCGCAACCCATTCGTTCATCTTTTGTTCGAACCTCGGCGCGTTGGATATCTCAGTCCAATTTAGCGCAGTCACCTATATACTCGCTACTCCACTTCCGAAGTGCGTTCATCTTTGTTCAACCTCGATTCAACTACGTATTTTACTCACGCACTTGGCTTTAGATTTACTCCGATCCGACGCACTCTCCGGCTGACTTTCTTTCCTTTCTTTCCTTTCTAGATACCCACCTGTTGGTTGAGTTGACGGAGTATCGCGCACCTCGGCGACGAGGTATCGACGCCGACTTCCGACTTATGGATGTGGATTTTAAACGGTGCGTGAGTCCTTCCTGGGTTTGCGTGGTTCCGCTGACTGCTGTGTGGGCAAGGGGATTAATTTTGGTCTGGAGTTCTAGGGCACGGGGATTGGGACCTGACTCGAATGAAAGAGCTGGCGCGGATTGGAATCAAAGTGGGACACTCGCCGGTAAGTCCAATCTTCGTGGATTCGGTGGTTTACTAACTATTGGGTTCAAACTCGGGCGGTTCAATGGGGTGTACGTGCGAGTAGGCCCCGCGCAAACCCGCCATGGGTTGTACATATTTCTTTGGCTTCCGAGTACTTAAGCTTCTGCTTAAGTAGCTCGCGAGTCGGACTCTATCTCAGGCTATGCTTATGCTGGTATCAGCAAACAGCGCTTGTGGAAGAACTTGGATGCACGTACAAGTTCAACCCCGCGACCGGACCGCAGCGACAATATTAATGAGCTTCCTACTGCCGCAAGCTTGAGGGCATCCCGAATCCTGAATCCTGAATCCTGAATCCTGATACTATATAGAACAGGTGCGCGGTGATCTCGCTCGGCAACGAACCCGGGCCGCCCTGAGGCCTGAGTGGCGATTCGTTTCGTTTCGTTTCGGAGTGTTGTCAATGTAGAGCTAGCGAATTCCGAAATTTCATCGACGGCCCACGGGCGGACTGGCAATTGTCACTGTGCGGTGTAGCCGGGGATATTCGCGCGGCTTTAGCCTTTGTGCGGTCAACCGGGGGCTGCACGGATCCGAGTCCGAGTCCGAGTCCGAGTCGGTCGGCTTGAAAGTTGAAGTTCGCAGACGCAGACGCGTGGGAAGAAGTTCTTAGTCGAATACGAGACCACACCATCCATGCAAGGCATCGAAAACATCGAAGCTAGCTGGGTCCAGCTTAACGTGGATTCAAGATCGGCACAGCACCCGAGGCACCTTACGCCGCAGAACGGTGCAGCGCATCATACATCATACATCATACATGCGAAGATCGGAGTCAGGAGTCGGGAGTCCGGACACGGTGTACAGTGTACAGTAAAGTCGGAGGACTCGAGGGGACGAACACAGGATCCCGACGCAGCCGAAGCCGAAGCGAAGGAGAACGAGAACGCGGGCAGCGCCAGATCAATCTTCAAGGCGAGCTGCGGAAGGTATAGAGCCGCAGCGTGAGGAAATATCGGATCCACTCTCGCGCGGAAAAGTCCACCGTACGCAGAAATTCAAATACGCGCTGCCCAAAAGCCTGAGATACGCAACGCGGGCGATACACGTTGGCGGCAGCAGGGCCCAGGGGGGCTTGAAAGTTGAGGAGGATGGTGTATTGAGTCTAAGGTTGGGGCGGCTTTTGTAGACCCGTGTACAATGCACAAGGCTGAGAAGTGGCTTTTCGAGTGCGCACTGCGGAAATGCTGATGAGCGAGGCGCACAGTGACAGGCTCCGGGGATGCTTCGGTTCGCGGTCCAGGGGAAGGTCTGCGCCACGAAGAAATTGTGCACGCGCGTTTGAAAGCGGCTTTTGATTCTCGAGGCTCAGAAATTAGAATCAAGTTGACGAAAGCGCGTTGCTTTTTGAGGATCAATTTCCGGAGACCAGATTTTGCAGGAGTTTGTCGGGTACAGCAAGTTTGGAGTAAGGAAGAGGACGAGGGTGCCGGATACTTCAACGCAGGAGATGAACGGGGCATCTGGGAGGTCGCGGAAGGAGGAGGGGACTTGGAAGGAAGAGAAGGCAGCG